AGGAAACAATGTATACATGCAATGGAAAGGTAATAACTTTCAACAGAACAGATATTGAAGCAGCACAAATTGAGAACCATGTAACAGGGCTGAAGAGACAAAGCCCTAAAAAGAGACTGAGATACTTCCACCTAAGCATCTTGCAAAAGGAAAATCCCTCAGACACAGTATACCATTCATTCACTGGCATCTGTCCATGGTATGAGCTAGCAATTAGTTGCCTAGAGCTCCGCAGCCCTCAGAACTGAACACCTAGGGTGCCTGTACATGTGTTTAATTGTCAATAAATTAAATATGTTTATTAAGATTGAAATGATTTGTTTTAATTTGGTACATTTTTGTTTACAGGTGATAGCCTTTAAATTGAATTAAGCTCAGTGCACAATTCAGAGTACATTACACCAGGAGGAGCAGCGTAACAATCCACCCCCCTGAACTTTTTGGTAGTCAATTACAGAAGGGCGCACAGCAAGCCAGTAATCCCCTTACTCCCAAAACACAACCTCCCCACCCCTCGAAGCTGTAGCTGCCCATATGGAGCCCCAGGCCAATCCACTTACAAAAAAAAAGCACACCATATCCAGAAGGAACTTTATAAATTAAAACCTTTATTTACTATAAACAATTATTTATATACTATAAAAACATAAAATATACTATTTTTGTTTATCACTTTAAAATAAATAAGTAAATGAATGAATAAAAAACAGCCAACATAAATAAACTTTTCCTTAACTGGATGGGGCCAGCTGGACAGTGGCATCTTCTATTATTTGTTATCCTATTTTCTATTTCTATTATCTTTTTCTATTTTTATTTTCTATCATCTTCTATCTTCAGTTTTCTTCTATTTCTAATCTTCTAATAGTCCTGCAGGTGAAGAAAGAAGATGGGTTTTGGCCTATACTCCCAAACCCACCTTCTTCACCTCCCCGCTACAGGCTACAAAATCTCCCATGGGAGATTTCTCCAAACATTATGTCTGTCAAAGTCTATGCATCACCCAGGATGCAGCATAGCCCGGGGGAGGGGTCTGGGATGATACCTCTGCCGTGCATGTGTTTTCTGGAAGGCAATTATAACAAAGATGCAAGTTATCCCAAAATATTAAAATGTTAACATGTGCAAAGGCACACCCCCTCAATGGCAAACTTACCATGTGCTGCACCTGCTGTTGCATCCCTTGCAATGCAGGTGGGTGCTAGGGTTTGTGTGGTTGAAGGGCACGGATAGGAGTGGAAACATTACCACCGCAGGCAGTGGGGGCGGTAGAAAAACCATCACCATATAAAGAGCAATCATGGGGGGGGCAGGTAAACTGGGGTGTGTCCCTCCATGTTTCTTTCTTTCCCTTGAAGAAAGCAAACCAGAAGCTGGACTCCATTTCACAGTGCCCATGTGGCTGTGGCTGGTTTCCATGGACACTCCAGCAGTGATAACATGGGCCTGGGGTTTATGAAGACTGGGCCACCTGTGCTGGCAGTGCATGCAGCCACATGTAATTTTGGGGGTCGCTTTGCCCCCTCCCCCAGCCCCCTCTGGCAGGGTGCTCAGCATGGACCTGCACTGCAGCTGGCTTGGGATCTTGCAGTGGTGGCAGCATGGTCCGTAGCTGGGGCAGAGCCATGATCTGCAGCCTGCATGCCCCAGGCCACGTAGCCCCTCTGCTCCCTACCACTGCCAGCTGCTCTGGCCACTCCTAGGGTTCCACCATGGTGGCAGCCTCCCGCCCAGTACCCAGCAGCTGGTCCATGCATTAATCTGCCTGTGTGGGGGGGGAATCTTCTCCGACACGAAGGGAAATTTTGGCACACATTAACCCACGGGTGGGCAAAATGCAGCCCGTGGGCCAGATGTGGCCTGCCAGGCCATTTTATCCGGCCCACGGGGCTCCTAAAAAATTTAGAAAATGAATATTTATCTGCCCCTGTCATGCAGCCCATGACAGCACGATTCACTGCCACCAGTCAAAGCTGCTCGCATGGGCCCAGACCCTGCGATTGCTGCTCCACAGGTTGATCCACGGACATCTGTCAGCCACCAGTTCCACAGCTGTCTCTCAGTTCTCCCAATCCACTGCACAGGCTATTTGCCTGGTAGAGCGAGCCGTGATTAGGTTCTGCCACATTTTCGCAATTTAGCAGAAGGCTCAGCATACCCTGCATTGCGATCAGCATCTGTGTCTCTACAGTGTCGATTGCATCCAAAGCCATCAACAGGTGATCCTACTCCATTCGCTCCTCCTCACTCAGGATTCCATGAAGCCATGTTGTTTGGCAGCACAAAGCTGTTTAGCCCACAGCACCACCAAGGTTCACTAGGGATCATCTAAACAGCTAGGGCTGCTGAATACAATCTATTAGCATTATAACTCCCCAGACTTTTGCATTTCAATGCTTACACAGCTCAGGAGGCCGTGTCCTGGGTGTAGGACACCAGAGGTTTTGGCCTGTAGTGAGGGGAAGGTCATGTTCTGCAGGTCCACTGAGAACTTGTGGGGTTTAGGATGACCCCAGAAAACCATCATATGCCCTGGGTGCAGATACTGCCATTTACCGGACCAATGAATAGGCACACCCAAGAAATATCACCCCATAATGTACCCCACCCTGGATTAAGCCAAATTTGAAACATGGGTGTGTGGGGCCAGCACTATGTTTCAATAACTCTCATTAGCACATCAACATCTATGCCAGGCAACGAGGTGCCAGAACCATCAAGTCCTCTCACAGCCACTATGGCTCAAAATAGACCCACACCCGATTTTTGAATAGGGCACTATTAACACCCATGCTACATTTCTACTGCTGAACACACCAGGCTCCTGTAATCTGGCTACCTCCCATAATTTAGTATTTAGGGTATTGGGCCCTCCCTATCCCCCAGAAATTCATCAATTGCTCATCAGTAAAAACTGGGGTGCAGACAGCCAGACATTCAATGAATGAACCTCGGACTTTCCTTCCCTTCAGACCAGATAGAACCCCAGAACAGTTGAGCACTTGACAGGTGGTAACAGTGCGGGGAAGGGGGTGTGTGCATGAAGGAAGAGCTGCTAGCCAAAGACACTTGGGTGCAATCAGCAGTGAGCCATTATGATCTACCCTTCTGGACAACGGGGGATGATTTAGCCCAGGCTATGCATATTACCAGTGCTTTGTTCAGAAAGGTCACTTGAGCAAATTCCCTTGATTGCCAGTACTGAGACAGTTCACACCTTCATAGGTATGTATACATGAAATTTCTAAAAAAAGGTTCTTTAAACACATGTCTATATAACAGCTCAAAAACTTTGCCAGAAAGCATTTCGTGACTGGTGGTAGCATATCTGGCCCCCTCTTGACTCATCTGGCCACAAAAAAAGTTCTCGATGTTGATGCTAAAAAACAAATACAGTATGCAGGCTATGGAACAGGAGCCTGATACATCTATAAGCCATGGCCTTAACTGGACCTGGGAAGAACTTAAAGACTTGATCGATATTTGGTTGGAGGAAAAGATTATTGAGCAGCTGCAAAGTAGATGGAATAAGCCAGTGTATACGGCAATTGCCAAGGAAAAGAAGGTGCGCAGGCACAAACAGGACCAGACACAGTGCCACACAAAGACCAAGGCCCTGAAATGTGCTTTTCATTGGGCTGAGAATTACTCTCATTCTGAGGCAACACACACAATTGCACCACTCTATGAGAAGCTGTCCACTCTCACCAAGGATGCAGGTAAGGCTGGTCTCTGGTCATTTGGGACAGGTGTTCAGGAGAGCACACCTAACAAAGAGACCACCGACTGTTCTGAGACTCAAACAGGAGATATGTTGGAGGCGTGGGGCAACTACTTGCAGGAGCTGGTGGACAGGGACATACAAGAGTTATCCTGACCATGCACCCAGTCTCCCCGATACCTTCAGCAGTGAGCACAGAAGATGAAGACAACAAGTCAGATGAAACTGTTTTTCCTCTCCAATGTGTTTGACACGTCAGAAGTTCCTGAGACCCAAAGATCTTCTGTTTTGAAGATGCAAGAGGACCCGCAGCCAGGGACTTGTAAGTATTGGGAAATGGGCATTATATCCATTTGTGGCACTACGGCAGGCAACGTTTTGCTTCCATTGGGGTGGATATGCTGGGGGGTTTCTACAAATAGCGTAGGTGAGAGTTAACCTTTTCTTTACAGGTTGGGGATGAGATCTTTGACCAAAAACACTTTGTTTTCCAATTCCTGTTACCAGCTACTGCACCTGATGGAAGCCAGGGATGTGCATCCGAACTGTGGACACTGGCTCACACTGGAGCAGAGCGAAAGCAGGAATTCCGCTGCAGGCAGCAATGCTCCAGAGAGAACATGATGGAGTCTTTGGTGGAGGCTGTGCAATCACGAGTGATCATTGCAGATGACTGGCAGGACAAAGTCCAGGACGTGCTTAGAGAGACTAATCAGAGGGAGATGGAAAGCATGGCCAACACTAGGGAATTCCAAAAGGATCTCCTAGACCACACAAGCCAATTTCTTGATCTGGCCTCGCAGTACTGTGCAAGTCTCCAGGAGACGCATACAATGATTAAGGATCGGATCTTAAGCATGTGAACAAGCCCTCGATTCATAAATGGAGCCACCCTGGAAGACTGTCCGTGAGCTCCACTAGGCTTGCCTCTTTCCAGGAGGTCACCAGCAGCGAGACCACTGAGCCTGCTCCCCCACCCACATTACCTGCAACCAAGGGATGCTCCAATTCCAGGAAAGCACCACTACAGTTTAGGGAACAAGTGGAGGTTCAGACAGGGGGTGCATGGCTGGGAAAGAAGACCATATGATGAGAGAGGGGTTCCAATTTGGTAATGAGTTTTTATATACAGGAAATTGGGGAGTTGGCATCCCGTGGTATGTCACTGTCATTTAATTAAGTGCTCTGGTCTAATA